TCTCTCTCTCTCTCTCTCTCTCTCTCTCTCTCTCTCCTGTGTGAAGTCTTTAGGGCACTCTGGCTTCCCTTACTCTTGAATTCTAAATCTTACATCTATATACCACAACCGTAACTCTAGCTTGGAGTACAGGCCATGTAGGTCTTGATGGCAATAAGACCCGTTGACCACTTTGCAAAAGAATCTTTAAAACTGCCTGACAATTATTTTTAAAAGGTAAAATTCCATTCTCTGACGAGAAACCCCAAAATGAAAGAACACATCGAATCCATTTGAACCAAAATATGGAACCAACAAATACAGAACAAACTTCAGTACATCCAACTGAAGCTTACGCCCAGGAAACTAGTGTCTCTTTTACGAGGAGAAAAAAAGTTATGTATACAAGACTTAAAATTGGAAACACGCATGCCACCCACAAACATCTTCTTGAAGAAGAAGAAACTCCTTTCTACGTACCGTGCAAATTTATTGTTTAACACTTTCTTGAGGTTACGGGTTCTGGGGTTCGAGCCTCAGCTCCGTCCAACGCGACGGTGTGTCCTTGGGAAAGGCACTTTACACTATTTGCTATTTGGCTCGGTCCTTTCGGAGATGGACGCTCCGGCTTCATAGATATCTAATAGTATTTATAAGGGTGTAAAACCTAAACCATTTCGCATTTATTTCCCTGTATGAAATGACCGTTACTGTATTGAGATGTTTCAACTTTGCTCAAACCCTCTATATTTCTCCTCTTCTGTTTCAGTGCCCCCAGACCTCCCTCCACACCCAGGCAGACCCCTGGGTGCTCTGTCCTCGCGACTACGCTCCAGATCTGCCAACAGGGCGTCTGCCAACATGCTCTCCACCGGAACTGACGACAAGAAACAACAAGGAACAGACGACAAAGATGGCGGCGGTGGTGACGGCGGAAGTGGTGGTACTGGTTACGGCCAAACATCAGGGCGTCTCGGGTTCGGAGCTGGATATGGCACGGACAACGAGTCTGTGAAAACGGAGGATTTTGAGTCGAAGTTCATGAACCTGATCGTGAACGGTTCGGATACGGAAAGAGCTGACACCGCTGGATCGGCTGCTTCTACCGCTAGAAACAAAAGTGAGAGTCGGATAAACGGGAGATCTGATCGGACGAGAGGGGGCGGAGCCTGTGGAGAAAGGGCTGACAGTAGGTTGACTTTTCGCTACCTCAGAATTCCAAATTTCCATCTGACATTTTTTGCCGTTGTGAGTCACTAAGATCATGAGATCAGGAAGCAATTAATGTTATATCTTCTCTATCAAAATCGTAGGAGTATTGGGAGTCATTATAGAGATATTCAAAGAATTGCATTTGAAAAAGCTTGACATGTAGTAAGACACAAAATTTATGTCTTCAAATTTTTCAAAACTAAGTATTGAGCAGATAGACCATTGTAATTCTAAAGTAGCCTGTAGTGAGAGAGAAACAACTCAACCTTGTCTATATATCTGTTTCAATGTTATGTATAATATTGCTAGATTTAGGAACAGTTTGTCCTGATTATGACCATGTTCACTTCCTCTTGCTGTGCTTGTCTCTCTTTGGTACCCGAGGTAGGGGGG